TGAAATTCTGTGCGGATTAATTTCGAAAACCACCCTTTGTTTCGCTTTTCACTCGAGCTGCGGGGATCCAGCCATTGGAGCTTTGCAACGGGTGTCGGGGATTTCACACCGAAAGCTCCACCGATGCCATAATTAATTCACGCTACGTAAATTATACATCTGTCGTCCCGTCACTCGCTCTGTATGAGCTGGAGGAGCTCCGTAAAAAAAATAATGAAACATTGCTCTTCTAAAGCTGTGCAAATTAATCAATTATTCCACGCTAATCCGCCCGGATCGAGGAGATTGTTTCAACGAGAAAGGTTATTATGCTCGGGAATGTCACTAATTTACGGTTGTAATACAAAGGCTCATGTTGTACGAATAAATCAAGCTTGTCAGATCAAAGAACCACTCTCCGAACGAACCGAACTGAGCGGGAGGAGTTTTTGCTTGTGAAACTTTGTCGTTCGGCTGACGGAAGCTCATCAGTAGGCCTTGAAAAATTGATTGTAAACTTTATGCTTGCTTCGTTAAACAGGCAAAAAGGACGACAAAGTCAGAAGCAAGGGTTGGTTGCTTTGAGTTAATAATTTTCAGAGTTGAAACACAATCACTGTGAGCCTTCTTAACAAACAATTCGAAATGGAATGTGAATTGTGTTTTTTCAGATAATTGATTTTTTTTTTTTATTTTCCTGATGGACATTCCACATTTTACATGTTTAGAATGTATTGTAAATATATCGTTGTTAATCTTTCTTATAAGATACATTTACCATAACATGAATTGTGCACCTCTACTCAAACAACAGGCGTTATAATTTATTTTATTTATGGCTTGCTTATGATACATTTCATCCAAGTTTCCATCCAACTGGGAATTATAGCATTCTTAAACAAAAACTTTAACTTGAACATGCTTATGCAAAAATGACATATGCGCAATCTTAAATATATCAGAATTTTCAAATAATTCTTCAAACTTTAAAAAAAAAACTGAGACTCGTGCTGGTTTTCACAAATTAATTGAACCAAAACTATTGTTTTATGAAGATTTCATACGTAAACAAGGGCCGGACAAATATTCTAAAGGACTTATCCTGATTAGTGTTCTGCATTACTGTGAATTAGTGGATTTGAATATTACATCGATTTTGACCCACAGTGAGATATTTCATAAACGTATCACCCACCATTTGTTATTTTCAGAATTTTAACTGAACATGCCACAGACAAACAGACTTATGTAACAATCACCATCACATTCTTCACAAATATGGTTTTAGTTGCGAATGTGCTTGCATTTGTCATGGTGGCGCCACTGAAGCGTTAAGCAAACCACTAAATTTCGAACTTATCAGTGTACAGTGGTCCAGAATGCAGATTTAGCTGGAAGGATAATATTTGAAATTTTAGACAAAAAGTGTTTTCTACAACGTTGTTAGGGTGGTTCTTATTATCATTGAAATCAAAAATTTAATTTTCTTCGGCAAAGTTATAGCTATGCTAATTTCAAGCAACCCGAGAGCTTCTTGCCCGGAATCATCACCTTCAGCAGTAAGGTGTAGTGCTTCTGAATCGTTTCCGTCGGATTGACCAGCAACGTTTGGACGACATTGGAGTAGTAGGACTTGTAACGCGCACCCAGAGCACAGATGATCGATCCAAAGTGCAAATAGTTCTTGTCGCTGAATGCACTGAACTTCAAGCTGTAATTGTCACCCGACTGGATAATCGCCGGGTAGTACATGTCCAACTAGTTGGTATCCACACCGGAGACGTACCTTTTGTCCTTCAGAGCCTGATCGGTACCCTCTGACAGTTTCGCATGTTTTACTTTTTTATCAGCATCCATTATCTCCATGATGTGATCCTTGAGGTTCTTGTTGAATACATCTACCGTCTGATAGTGATAACCTCGGATTCCTCCATGGAGCACATGTTATATGCGATTGGGACGCTGATGTGTCGAAGCTCCTATCCTTGATGAAGACTCGCCAACATTCACCCGGGAAGTTTTCCTTGGAGAAGACGCCCAATGTTTTGCCATCTTTGGATCCCTTAATCGCCTTCAGCAGCTTTTCAAAATTGGCCTGGTCTTTGTCGTTCTTTTCCCGAACCAACAGTTTCACCAAAGATGAATACTAAGATGAAACTGTCGGAAGAAAAACTTTCTATTTTAGTGTCCTCTTTCACGGTCTCTTTCATCCAATGAATACCCCCTGTATTCACGGTAATTTTGTGGTTTTGCTGCCCCCTCGGTAGATATGAAATTTTGCGCTCTTTTTTATCAAAACAAACACACCAAAATCAGAGATGTACCATTTTTTAATTACTCGATTAACACCTAATCGATTTTTTTTTGTTCGCTGTGTGTTAATCGATTAATCAATTATTCGAATGAAAATCGGCCATCACTAGATGAATGTGAAACGTCATTTCAAAAATAAGGACCGTACATAAATAATGATACATTTTGAAAGGGACCGGGGCTAATCACAAATTACGTCCCCACGGTAACTGAAATGAACACGAGTGTTCACCGGTTGGCCAGGTCTTCAGCGAGGTTGATTTGTTGTTGATGGTTTCTTCGTCTACGCCGACCGCCGTCAGAATGCAATCCACCTTCTGCAGCGAATCATCATGGGAAAACTCTGGTTCCTTCCAGCTGGCGTAGAGGCATCTTATTCGTCGGTAGAAGCAATCCTTATCGAGCATGATATTCGACATTTTCGGTGCCGTTTCGATCCCTTATAAAATTGTTATGGTTATTTTGCTTAACGCCGTGTTCCGGGTATCATCCAAACCATGTGTGGAATAGTTCTATGATTTGGGTTATCATTCGTTTATGGTATTTGTTTTATTAGGGATTGCAAACCTAAACATTCAAGTTGTCAGAAATACCGAGTTGCCAAATATACCATACTATCCGTATTTAAAAAAATCGCAGCTTGCTCTATGCCCGGCACTACCGCCACAATCGGCACACCAGCGATACATTTGCGGCACACTGAGAAAAAAGGTTCACCCAAGATTGGTGTGTTGTGTGACCTACCCCTTGATTCAAATAGATACTGTCCAAACATTTCCTAAATCCTTCGCCAGAGTCTTCTTGAAGTTCATCACCTATTTTTGATGCAATATAATATGGATCATTCCAGCTCAAATGAATAGACCACCGGAAGTCGATTTGAGTAAATTAAATTTGGCCAAGATACCCATTTTAATATTCTGAAAAAATACCTTTTGGGATTTCGCCCTTGGATATTTAAATATTGTACTCGAAAAAAAATGCAACACTTTTTAATGCATGGGTAAAAATTGATGAAATTTTGAGTAAAACTAGTTTAGAGTGTAATGTTCACATGTGCAAAATATCAAGTGGTCAAGTGGTTATCAAGATGGCATCCATTCAAGAAGTGCTTGGACAACAAAATATGGGAGCCGTCGTGGAAAATCCAGGTCAGTCCCTCAGGTGGATCGCGAAACAGTTTGGAATCGACAATTCGACCGTGTCCCGTGTGGTAAAATCGTTCAAAGAGGCCCTGACGACCCAGTGGCGAGCTGGCAGCGGATGAAAAGCGAAGACGACCGACCCGGTGAACGCACGTGGGGACGTGGCCAAGAAGGTCAATTCTTCCGTCTGGTTCGTCCAGCAGACAATGAAACGGGCAGGGCTTAATGTCTTCAAAGTAAGGAAGGCGCTTAGCCGAACCGAGAAACAGAATAGGGTGGACAAATCCCGCGCCAGGAAGCTGTACCGCGAGTGGTTGGTGCTGCCGAAATGTATTTTTGGATAGCGATTACTCCGCAACCAATCAAGTTTGTTGTGTTCTTGAAAGCTCGTAAAACTGTGCTCCTGTGCGATGACATGTTAATATATATATTTTTTTTATATATATTATCGGCAAAAGGACAAAGCTGGAAATCGATGCGGGTTGTAAACGAGAACGTTTATCGATCAGAAATTTTCCCACGATTCTGTCTTCTGATCATAAACCCTTTCCAAAATTTACACGTTGCAAGTCACTACCCGGTACTAGAACTACAAAAGCATTGGGAGGCTTATCCATAGGATTTTTTTTACGGTTCATTTTGTTCAAAGCTGTTCCAACTACTGACTGTTTAAATCACCGGTCAGAAGGTCAAGGTTGCACGTAATCAATAGCAATTTCGTGCACCATCACTTGCATGCCGTTAACACTGTCACCATCACCGCCAGGCAACCAACGTCTCGTTCATAATGGCATTTATTGCTCGCCCATTTGTTCTACGACCTGAAATCCGGCATACTACTAGCCAACAAATCACCGGAATGTTGATGATATCGAAACAGTACACGCCATTTTCCTGGAAACTGCTGCTCGTCCCGTAAATTGCCACTGACTGGCACTTTGTAGGGAAACAAGGAATTTTCATGGCATTCATGTCTCGCACAGGGAAAATAGTGCATGTATTAAGGCTCGGAAAATGAGGTGAGAGTGAGCAATGGAATGCCCCTCGTCATTGCTCACTCACTCCTGATTGTTTTTTATTTTTTGTTCATGGAGTCCTCGCAAAAGCAGAAGTGGGTGTCATTTTTCGCACATCAATTACAAAGTGTCGCTACGTCTTACATGAACTGGTAACCATTTATCAAAACACCACTCCTAATAAATTGTGTCCCATGTAGTCCTTGTGTGAACTGCGCTGCAGTGAGTTGCATAAATCTAGTCACTATCCGGTCTGGTTTACTGCTGTTTCTCACCACTGCAGTTTAGCATTGTGCAGCGTCACCACCGTACAAACATGCTGGACAGAAATTGTTGTGTGGCACTAAATATTGCCTCTTTCTCTCCAGTGTGAAGTGACGTTGATGGCTATGACTGCATACATAATTACTGGGAGGGAAAGTTTTGCATCCAACTAACCAACCACCAAAGAACCTCTCAACTTTATGGATATCTGCAACTCATTTCCCTGGAAGTATGCATTACAACCAGTGTTAACGGTCTGTTTCCATTTCCTTCTCACTCACAGATGCCGCAGCAGTCGAGGTGATAATCTGGATAGTATCGGAACGAGCCTGGCTGGACAGACGATGGATGCGGTAAATGGAAAGGTTTCACGGCAGCAAAATGGCTCTGCGTCTGGACCCGGTGGTCGTGAGTACTGGGGACGAATGCCGGAACCTCCATCGACACTGAATGGTCACCCGCAGCAGCAACCGCCATCCAGCAATCACAGTCAACAGGGATCTCAACCAACCAGTCCAACTTCGAGCCGCAAGGATCGTAGTTCACCGGGCCATTCGAGAAAGAGTAGTTCATCATCCAAAATTGCCAGCAGCCGAACGAAGGGAGTTCCGCAGGGCTTCGGTTACGTAAAGAAGACCAACGGGAGTGTAGAACAGCAAGGGCAGTCGTTACTCACGGGAGGACGAACGGCACACGTTTCAGCAGTGCCCAGATCTGGGAAACTGAAAGTTTCCGGCGGTACGCAGACCACTACGGCTGATTTCCAAGCTAGTGAGTATTTAGCCTATTCGTTGACATATCATGACTCGATACTAATCACCTTTCCATTTCAGAAGCACAACAACACCCTCAGTATCGTAGTTTTTCGTTGACCGGACCGGGAGCGGCACAGCTGAGCCAATCGGTCAAAGAAAGGTTTGGATCTGGAACGCATAGTTTGCCAAAGCCCGGTTTAGATATGCATGTCTTCCAACATAGGTTTGTTTCCCTTGAACCAGTGCGCCGAAAGCTAATCCGAACCATTCAAACCGCTAGAGTTACTAACTGCATCTCTTGTTTCTGTCCTTTCTTTCATATTTCACCCCACTAACACACCATGTCCATCCTGAACGAAATCCAGAATATCCACCCGTGGGTCCACTAAGCTAAACGACGGTAGCCTTAGCGATACGCAAACCTACGCCGAAGTGAAGCACGACTACGGCAGCTACGCTATGTGGCTCCGCCATTCGAACACTGCCTCCAGTCGACTCTCAGAGGGCGAATCCCTCGAGAGTTTCTCCATCGGATCCGGCGGGACTGGTGGCAGTGGTGGAGGTGGTGCTGGTGGCGGTGCTGCCGGAACCGGTATGCCTGGTGCTACTCGACCAAGCAAGCTGTTGCACCATGCTCGCGGCGAAACGCAGCCAGCCATGCATCACGCGGCCACCACACACAGTCCTCGGTTGAACAGAAGCAATAGCATAAGGTAAATATCGCCGGTCGTTGTTTTCGATGTTCCTCGTCGCTTCTTCTTCCAATTTCGTTGATGGCTTTTTTCGATGTTTTTTTTTTGTACGATTCGATGTCTTTACTGTTGAAAATCTAAAATTTAAAGATTCGTTATTTGTTTGCTCGAGCTAAACTTTCGTTGCACTTCCTCGTTGTGCACAATCTGTGAACCAATAACCAACTCAGTTCGTTTTGACAAACCATTGTTTGTTTTTTTTTTATTCCACCCTACGCTCCAGCTATTTGAAAGAAAGGACCTACCCCAGGTAGATACCACTCGCATAACGAACATAACCCCAACATAGCTATTTTTGGCATGGCATGCTGTGACCAATTTGCACGCATCCTCTCCGTTCCTTCACAACCTGCTTTGATATCGACAGTAGCTTTCCTAAAATGTTCATTTATTCCAGTATCGTCATCACCTTCAACGCCGGATGGCTCGATTGACTTTGCCAGTATTAATTATGTCATAATTTTAGCGTTTGATATCCTAGCTCGAAAACCTAGTTCGGATCCAATCGAGTCCTTGTTATGAACTCATACACACACACACACATATACATTTTATGGACATCAATTTTAAGTTCCTCTCCACTCTCATCATATTGGTGAAGCGAAAGCACTGCGAATGCTTAGCAACGTTGTTGGGTCGGTTAATTTGTCGTTTATTTTGGGTAATATATTTGGCGTGACAAGCTGGCATTTAATAATAGATGTTTTTAGGAAATAGTAATCAACTTGGACGGAACGTGTGTGCTGCGTTTGCGTTCTCTGAAATTGACGTTTACAAATTGAAAACATTGGTTTCGTATGTTGATTCTTGATTTACAACGTATGAATCAGAGCTATTCTGGAACTACGTTTCAAATTTGGGCATGTCAATTCAAACCAGTATTGAATTTTGTTTGTGGCAAAGTGTTATATTTGGTACCATCTGCAACATAATAATTTCAATTTGTAACTTGTCAATAACTTATCGAATTCCTGACAGTTACAAAACTATGTACCACAAAAGCCTTTATAATACAACTCAGAATCAAAATCTTCGAAAGTTTCACGTTGTTTTTTATTTTGCATGTAGATTATATGCCTGGATTGCAATGTTTTGCCAACCCATCGCTAGAGGAATATACACGGAAACAAATCCGATTCCATTTTCATAAATAAAAAATCATGAAATGTAAAAATTTGCCATCTTATGGAATCATAACAATGATTCATGATTTCGACATGGAAATTCATGGTTTCATAATGCAGTGGAATCAAGACCGCTACAAGCGTTACACGTACTTGGAAAACCGTGTTCATAAACCGCACTACATAGGTACCCGCATAAACAATACCCATAAGAAGCGCCTAACCACCAATTCGGGATTTCATCCCAACTTTATGTGGGATAGTCGTACCATCTATGATATCGTTAGAGTATGGTACCCGTTTACTAGGGTATGTCTTATACGCCTTTTGTCTTTTATCTTATACAAGTACTGATAGTCTAGTGGTCAAAGAATGAGTTTAATGATCTCAAGGATCTAGGTTTGAATCCAGTGCTTTATTTTATTCTTTTTACACTTTTTTGGTTAAAAGTTAAACCCATGAATTTAGATCATGATTTCAACTCGGATGATTCATGATTTTGGGAATGTTTACTGCGTTACGCAAAAGTTGCTCATGATATCATGAATATTATTCATGGTGTATTTTCATAAAATACGCTTTGTTCATGAAATCATGAGTCATTTTTCTCAATTTCGGAGATCGGATTTTTTTCCCGTGTACGGCTTTGGAAACAAGGTGTAATAAAGTGACATTATAATCGATGGAACGGTAAAATGGTAAATTATGAGTTGTGACAGCATGAACCCGACGATGTACATTGACAATTTATCTCTATAAAAAGAGTCAAATAATGTATCAAAACAAATGGCATAAACATCAAACGTAAGTGTGGATGTCTTCCATCCTCTGTACAAGTTTCTCGTAACAAATGTAATGGCAGTTGTAGCGCTCCAGCAAATTTTTCCAGATTAAATATTTTCGTAAAAACTCCGGTGACAAGTCCTTTCTCGTATAAATTTAAATAGCTTCATTTCACATACCTTAACGTAGGACACACATCCGGGTGTAAAGGGAACGATTCAAATTGGTGCGGTCAATACGGTGATGTAAAGCATGTAGTTCGGGAGAAACTTCCTGCTGCCTTGGGCCTCAATATGCACACTGGTGTGTGGGGTCTGGATGTAAAAAAAGAGATTCCTAACTCGCTGCATTTCCTGAATTGAAGGGGGAACATATTCTGCCAGCGGAACAAAAATGTGTGTTTCCTTTTTAAGACAGACTACAAATTCGGGATAGTGGACTATACCGAGATGTAGCGGATAAAGGACAAAGAGGAGACCAAGCGGCTGAAGGAAAAAAACAATTGGAAGAAGCAAATGAGTTGAGGGTACGAATGACAGCGGAATCTTAACTTGAGTCGCCTCCAAAGATTAAGAAGAACTCGTAAACTATGTCCTTCTTAATATTTTAAAGCAATCATCAATCTCGACGAGCCAAAAAACGTTCATGAGGTTAGGCGTCTAATGGGAATCGTGGCGTTCTATTCGCGATTCATCCAACATATGGCCTCGATAATGGCTCCAATATATGCACTCACTCGCACGAAGGGAAGCCGAGGAAAATTTCTGTGGACCGAAGACTTTCGAGCAGCTTGGAAAAGGAGATATAGCTCTAACGCACTTCGATCAACAGTTACCTTCTATAATCCAAACTGACGCTTCGGATGTTGGAGTGGGAGCTGTGTTACTGCAGAGGCAACCGGATGGGTATGAACGACCTTGTTACTTCGTTTCCCGTGCGCTAACCGATACAGAAAAAGGTTACAGCGTGATAGATAAGGAAGCATTGGTTGTAGTATTATGCACTGAAGAAATTTTACCCTTACGTTTATGGTACAAAAGTCACTATAAGGACAGATCATCGGCCCCTGTTAGAAATGCTGGGTGAAAATAAGGAAAAACCAGTATTTTCTAGTCGGCGTTTGCAACGATGGGCACTTTCCATGGCAGCTTTTGATTACACGTTGGAGTACATCAGAGGAGATCACAATAATCACTTGGCGGTTCATCTTTCGAGGAATCCGGATCTAAAACATAACTTGGAGATCAAAGACGAGGAAGAAGTAGCAAGTGTGCATTATGTTGCTTGAGCAAGTGTCAACGTTGTCTCCGCTGATGAGTTGAAGGAAGCAACTGAAAATGACGAGGTATTACGAAAGGTTCGGCAGTATATTTTCAACGTGTGGCCAAGAAAACTATTGTCTGGAGGAGAGCTTCAGAGGTACTTCGCAGTCCGGGAGAAGTTGAGTTGCAGTGATGGATTGATATTGCATGGTGACCGTTTGGTAGTACCTTCACTTCTTCGGAATAGAATCTTGAATGAGCTACACCAGTCTCATCAAGGTGAAGTTAAGACGAAGAGTTTTGCCCGTCAATTCGTGTCGTGGACTTCTTTAAACGCTTCTCGAAAACTGCAATTTAGGAGTTCACCGCCGAAGACATCGTCACCATGGCGTGAAACGAAACATGTATTTGAGAGGATATATCTGGATCTCGCAGGTCTAATTCGAAGGACCACAATTCACGGCATCGGAGTTCAAGAATTTCCTGTAGGTGAATGGGATACAGCACATGACTTCACCCGTAGGTCACCCTCAGTCAAACGTAGCGGCTGAAAATGCTGTGAAAACGGTAAAACTGACCCTAGAGAAAATTTTCGCTACGGAAGGTGACCTGATGGTTGAGGACGCAATTGTGAATTTATCGATGGTGTACCGCAACAGTCCTCACTGCACCACACATGAGATACCTTCACAACGAATGTTCCGGAGAGAGGTACACCTGAGACTAGACTTGGTAAAGAGGGCTACTATATCTATGCCGCCTCCGTCTGATCCTTTTTAAGACCACCACCAGCTTATAACCTTACGGAAGATAAACGTACATGGCCAATCATACCAACTCAGCGACTGAGAATAATTGACTCAGAGAATTTTCTTTCCATACGAAATTTACTCAGATTTAGAAGAAACTGCAGTTACTCATAGCTTATGAGTAACTGCAGTTTCTTCCAAATCTGAGTAAATTTAGTATGGAAAGAAAATTCTTTGAGTCAATTATTCTCAGTCGCTGAGTTGGTATGATTGGCCGTGAAGTTGAAGCAGTTTTGGTACTGGATACGCGAATACCAAATTAGAAGCTATTCGTTCGATGTACTGTGCAGAAGAGGATTGGTCGAGTTGTTTACTTGGTATTAACTGAAGAGCCAGTGTTGCCAGATTATGTTCGGGCTTATCGGTATCAAAGGTTTTAAAAAATCGGTATTTATCGGTATTTAGCTTAATTTTAATTAAGTTTACATTGTTGCGGTTTTCGCAAGCGAAAATTTTAAATTTTGGCCTAAGAATGGCCTCTCCAGAAAATTCGCAAGAAATTTCCGGGGGATACTTCAATTAGTTTCTCAAAAATCCGAGAAAGGAGAAAGAAGCTCTTCTGGAGAAAGTTTCAAGAAAGTGTTAGGAAAAGTCGAAAAAACATCCGGCGAACTTCCAGGTAAAATATGGAGAAACTTTCGGGGTACATTTAAAGCAACTTTCGGGGAAAATCGGATGACACATCCAGAAGAAGCCAGAGCGGTTTCAAAACTCACAAGCAAATTCCAGGAGTAGCGGTTTATTAGGGAAACTCAGGAAAACCTTCCAATATAAGTCGGAAAATCCTCCGGAAAAATATCATGGAGAAACTTCCAAAGAAAGACGATACATATTCCTGGGATAGTTCGATAGATACTTTCGGTAGAAGTTTAAGGGAGCTTCCTGGAGATTTTTTTTTCTTTATTAGAGAGATTTTTAGCCATAGGCTAGTTCATCTCTTAAATTCCTGGAGATAATGGAAGAAACTAATTGAGATAATTTGGAAGAAACTTCTTAAGAAAGTCGGAAGCTTCTTCCGGTGTAGCCAGAGATTTTCGGGACAGTAGAAAGACAGCGGAAATCGGTAGAATCTTCTAGGGTAAGTTAGCACAATATCCCGTAGGAAGTTGCAAAAAACTGGCGGGAGAAGATGAAAGAAGCTTACTTTTGGGTATTTTTTTCTTACCATGTACAAACTGTCAGGTCAGCAGGACGATACCTGAGACGTTGAATAGAGACACGTATAGACTGAAGCAAGAAGAACCAAACGAACCGTCAAAAGCTGAACCAAACGAGCAAAGTAAATACACATTACGGTTAGCTCAATTCACCAGAAAGGAGTGTTGTTCTCAATGCTGAAAAAAGTGCCTTATTTTCACGAAATATTTGATATCCGTTATATATTTATTTATTGTTGATTCAATTAAATATAACATTCATTAGTGATACAAAACAATTTTGAATCGGAACGTTTTATTTCGTTTTATTGCAATTGAAATGATTGCGCTACAAGCAAAACAGTAAAATATGACAAAAGTTATACTATCATGGAGCGACTGTCATTTCTTGTCTTCGCTTTATTTTTGCCGAACACTTCATTTTTATTACGTTCCGGTTGAACGTTCAAATTTTCTCAACAGCATTGCTGCACTGTATGAAAGTCATTTGAAGCCACTTGAAGAAACATGGTTGCCAGTGATATTGCCAAAAGATCCATTAAAAACCGTGCTGCTGTTTTGACAGACATTTTTTTTTTGCTCGTCTCTATCATCGTCTCTGGACGATACCACACATCAATCATTGGGCGAACCCAACAATTCATCGATTTTACCAATAAGGTCCAACCGGATTAAGGAAAGAAAAGAACGTTTGAAAGATTGTAAATGACTTGTTGCAATCTTGGAGGAGCCTATGATGTGTAATAGCATTTCTTTATATAATTAACCGGCAATTTGAATAGCTTTCGAATGAACTAAATTTCTTGTATTTCTTGCCATATGCATTTTCGAAGTAGAGTATAAGAAAACTGAATAAATGGACTAGTCTTGAATTGTAAGTTAACTGATAAACTTCTTAGTCCGTATTCTAAAAGAAACCGTTAGTTCTATGTTAGTTACCACTAAACATAGCAATTAAGTGGTTTTCGGCTCCGTGGAGTCGACGTGGAGTGACGGACATTTGAGCCTAGAAAATAAAGTATTGTTTGCATCAGAATGAAAACTAGCGGAACCGTCTGCTGATGTGAGGGAGCGATACTTCCATGAACAGTGACGAGTTGCTGAAACAAACAAGGAACTGTGGCAAACGTACCATCTGTAACCCAATACTTTGCCAAGACCTCGCAAGTTTTCATGAGTTTCAAAAAAGGCTCTTTCATTATTGTCACCGAAGTCAGCAATCAAAAGACGGGCCCCATTATCATCCTTCTGGAATTCATCGGGTAGATTATGCCTAGCGCCCATTTTGCCTAACGTCCTTTATGCCCAACGTCCATTATGCCTATCGTACATTATGCCTAACGTCCGTATGCCTAACGTCATTTACCCCAATATTACATGTCGTATTTGTTTACGTTGCATACTTTGACAATGAATGCCGTCTTTTTAATAATTAATCAATTTTAAGTGTATCCATCAAATCCCCTACGTCCCACACCCAGAAATCCTTCATTTTGCTAAAGTAAATGTATATTAAACATCATTCCCACATGCTTCTGGTTAAGCCGGGGGCCTGTTGAACACAACATGCATGGTTCAAGTCCCGATCTGGAGCGTTTTATGTTATTTTTATAATTCTAGATAGAGCTGGAATTAGGACGTAACAGCTTTTGTAAACAATGACTTCTCTAGATGATTTCTCGAAAGTAATGCTGCAATTTGTCCAATTTATGTACAGGAATTTGTTGAGAATTTTTTGATATACTTTCTAAAGTCGATGGGGTCTTACACTGATTTTTGTTTTCTGAATCTTTTTAGGAATTCAAATGTGTAATAAATTCCAATATTTTGGACAAGCCAAATGAATTATTTTAAATTTAAATTTGTATTTTTTTTTTCACTATATGTGAGTAAATTATGATCTTATATGGCTGAATACATGAAGATGTTGGCTATGGGTTCAACGAATCCAATGTTGAAGACTTTTTTAAGTGAATTGAGAACTTTTTAATATTCTGTTTCAAAAGCTTAACTCAAATATGAATCACATTCACTCATATTTTCTCATGGCTCTCCCTGGCAAATCAACATCACCGTCGATTAGGCGAAGACTTCCCCTACCCAATCAAAATGTTAGTTTGTGTAGGCGTGCCTTTTTTTTCCTTGGTTTGTTTTCCGTCGATCTTGTTTTCCGTGCTGAGCACCAATGCTACCGACGCCAGGAAGGCAGCTCCCACACCTAGACCCTACATATCGACTCATCAACTCATGAACCGGAGACCAACGGCTTTACTTCCCGTCCGAAGGAAGGCGTGATCAGAGATGTTATGCCTCAGAACATCCCGGCGGCGCCGACTGGGATGGAACCCAGGCCCAGTGTAAGACCCCATCGACTTTAGAAAGCATATCAAAAAATTCTCAACAAATTTCTGTACATAAATTGGACAAATTGCAGCATGACTTTCGAGAAGTCATCTGGAGAAGTCATTGTTTACAAAAGCTGTTACGCCCTAATTCCAGCTCTACCTAGAATTTTATAATTTTTCTCCGTGCGCAATACACTTGTGAACATCGATACACCCGAGTGAATTGTATGAAATGTACTTGTGTACAAAATTGCGCGTCAGTTCAAGCTGAACATTCACGTTGATTTTCGTACACAAGCTCATCATGGTACATGTTTTCGTGAAGACTGGCGGCAGTGGATGCCCGCATATGAGAACATAAACTTTTTCGATTAGAACTTTCAGCATAAGTCCAACAACTTATTCGTCCGATTTGGACCAAACAGGACTAAATTTCCTGTATCTCAAACAACTCAATCCGAACCCTTCCACGCTCAGATGAGTTCTCCGATTTAATAGCCCTTTCGAACGAACTCCACGAAAGACATTGAAAGTTTCATCAGAAAACGAGTGGCCCAGAAGCTGCGAGGGCAAAATTTATTCACTACCACGACCCAATTACTTGACATCTTTTGTTCCTTGGTCTGCCGATTGTCTTCCGCTGGAATCAAACGGCAAAGGTGAAAGTAAATTGGATTTGAAGAACAATCGAACGCTGAGGGGTATTATTCAAGTGCCATTGCCGACGGAAAATTGAAATGTAGGCTTTCCAGTGAAAGGTGCTATCTCTCAATTAACGATCCGTTGCTGGGACGAAATATTTTTTCCACAAAGGCATGCCTTAATTGGGTTTTCTTATCTACGAAACTACGTTTGTCATTTATAATGGAATTTTAGCCACATCCGCATGAATTTATTATCCTTCTAGAATGATGATCAAACTCAAAATATGATTTAAATTTGCATGCAACTCACCCGTACGAACCGAAAGACCTTCCTAGAAGTAAAACTTGAAAGCTGCTCATTTGCATCCTCAACGGGTCCGAGCAGTAACTCCCAGAATTTGAATAAATGTTTGCAATTCAAATGTTTATCTTTCATCTCACACCCCACATAGAATGCACCATTAGTTCATCTTAATCCCCATCGGAAGAGTTGCAAAGTTGCAACACCCTTTATGCTGATCGTTTTACTAATGTCCACCCATTTTTCACCACCACCACCACCCACGCCTATGCGTCATAGATCTACCAAGTCGGAAAAGATGTACCCTTCGATGCTGAGCCGAGGACCAGACGTGGACATTGAGCCGTACTACTGCCTGCCAGTGGGCACTGTGCCCGGTGGAAATGGAATGGTCCCCTGGAGTCAACCGACCTCACCGACACCGCCGGCACGTGGCTTTGCTGGATTGCTATCGCCCACGCACACCAATGCCTCCCACAGACTCACCTATCCGAAGAAGAACGACGAAGGTGAGTTGCTATTTCTGCATAATTTTCAGGAATCACAAACAAGTTCTTAGAATTTTGTATTTCCCCTTCAACCGGTGGGCTGCGCTGTCACTTCCTTTGGGGCATCATTAATAACTTTGCGCGATATTTTCTTTTTCTTTTCCTCAGTTCACGGAAGTCAAGCCTCGCTCCTGTCCGGAGGTTCATCGCTGTACGGTTCGACGGAGGAACGGCAAGCCACGGAGGTGCGGCGTTTGAAGCGGGAGCTCATCGACGCCCGGGATCAGGTGATGAGCCTCTCCAGCCAGCTGTCAACTAACGTGAGTACCCTTTTGCGGTTTTGTTATCTATTCATTCGCTTTTAATTTCCCTGCCTGCAGGAGAGGGTGTTTTATTCTTTGTCGTTATCTTGACCGTGAAAAACTTTTTTTGATGATGAAAATGAGAACAATTAGAATAGCAGTCGGATCTAAGTGGGCTAGGCAAACAGAAAGCACGGTATTTAGATTATTCAGCATGACATGCACACGGCAAGTTAATGCTTTGACCTTGGAATGGAAGGAAATGTTGTCTTTTAGGCTTCCATGGGGCCTTTTTCGAACTACTTGGAAAAGCGAGGACATGATTTCAGACTGCGTTATACATTAGATACTGAAATGCGGATGAGCACGCAATATCACGATTGCTGTCCTGCTGTCTGAAGTAGGCAGTTTGGGTGTTAATGTTAGTCTCAGGAAAGGGCTTTAAATTGTTAGAACAAAGCAGTAGATGAAACGGTCACAATTTTTTTTATCGTAGATCGATAGTTACTCCATGTAAATTGTTCAACGTTGGGAATCAGGTGATGTCATGCGATGCACTTTATTAGACGTATGGTAGCTTGCGTGAGCTTTTGTTTGCTTAAGTGTGCCTCTCACATTATGTGTTATTCATTAATTAAGTGTCTTACTATTGAAATCAAAGACACTTGTTTTTCATTTTCTCTATTTCTTATCATTTTCATTTAAAAGCAATTTTTTATACTTGACTTAGGATGTTCCTGAAAATTTAAAAAAAAATTATTGGTCTTTAGACTTTAACGAGAAATTTTAAATTTTAAAACTACAAGGGACAGCCCTAAGGGGTTGTACGTAATGGTGATGTAGGACTACGTGGTCTTGCATAAACAATCTTATTTGTTAACTGCAGCAGGAGCTTGTGTTTTGTGTAGGAATCGGAATTTGATCGGGGTTCTCTCTGTTTATACTCTTTAGTATGACGCGCTTACCATAGCGGCTCACGACGAGCAACTGATTCCGATCAATAGCGATGCGGCTTCTTCCTCCTTCTATGAGTGCTAATGTGGACAGCAGCTCGCTGCTTGCAGGCAGCCTTTCGTTGTGTACTGGAGAACACTACTACTCACCACGCGGTGATTGAATAAATACCGTTTGGAGAGACCGGATGGAATTCAACTTTGAAATCTTTGATAGGGAAATTGCTTTTCGCAGGCAATCAGTGATAATTTTTATTATCATAGCAACAGTTGCACATTCGTGCAATTTTCAATAGTGTCATTTTGAAAAATTATAGTCAAAATTTTAACAGATTTTTAGAAAAATTTCCTATCGATTGGCGTATCAAAATTAAAATCCATCATCTCTGGATCAAAATCAGACATGAAAGTGGCAGCAACTTACTTTGGTTTTTGAAATAGCACCCCCAATGTTGCCTTAAAGTACATGGTATGTTAGATTTAAGCATATCTAGATAGAGCTAGAATTAGGCGTAAAAGCTCTGGTAAACAATGACTTCTCTCGATGAATTTTAGGAATTCAAGGCACGCCCACGCATACCAACATTATTGTCGGGTAGGGGAAGTCTTACTCAAGTCCTGAAAAGGAACGTTTTGTCGTGATGGTTGATTAATGCTGAGATTTTAGGGTGTTAAACATAGATGATGCTGGTGAGCTGTATGTTGTTTGGAATGAGGGTGACGCGCTTGGCATAGATAGCCCACAGCGACTCACGAAGAGCTACTGATTCCGATCAATAGCGGTGTGGCTTCTTCCTCTTTCTATGGATGCTCATGTGGGCTGCAGCTCGCTGCTTGTAGGCAGGCTTTCGTTGTGTACTGGAGAATAATGTTTAACGTCACGCACCGAAAGCACTGCTGCTGCTGCTGATGTCGATGACCGGACACCACCACACACAGTGATTGGAACTGAATCCGATCAGCGCTTGAAGGCAGCCTTAATAGCTAGCTGCGGGGAGCCTTTTGTTGTGTACCATTATTTCCATATGAACTTCAAATGGTTTGTGCCAAGTCAGTTTCTTACTAAATATGTTCAAATTTTGTAAGGCTAATCAGCTAACCCGATTTGGAACCGTTTGAGTTTAAATTTTACATCAGTCTAATGCGCCATCATGCCTGGCATAGACATTGTTAAACACCGGACACAATCAACCAACTAAAAAAATCATGAGATGATTGGTCCAGATATAAATTAAAAATTAGTCAATTAATTAATTAAGGTACACAAGATTAGTCATTAGTCTTAGAATACCTTGGTTAGTCTGTAAAACATAAAGATCGGAATCCATACCTCTCATGCCAAAGTCATGAGCTCAAATCTAGCCGGGATCTGTCACGACTATACAAAAAAAAAAGATTTGAACTCCAGGTATTTTGGAAAACCAAATAATCCAAACAAATGAAATTATGAGGGTTTAACATTCTGAGTTCAATATATCTCTTTTCAAAATTTGATTTAACCCTCCGTTACTCGCGCCAACTTTTGTAACACGAGTACTCGCGCGTTGTACTTTGTACAACAGTGTGAGTTTTCCATTGCCATTTTGCAGCCGAGCTACCAATCGATATGAAGCCAACGAGTATTCCTCAAAAAACTTGTTTTTAACTAAACAAGTTAAACTTTTATCACAGTTAACCCCCAAAAAATGCGGATAATAGAGAAAATGGAAACCGCCTAAGCGGTGTCCGTACTACGTGGGATTTGACTTAATTGGTTACAACATGAAAAATCAGACCAGATAAAAAGTTACTGTCTTCGGCAAAGTTGTTCAGAAGGTCAAAGTCTTTTCGTTGGTGGAGTAGTTCAGAAAATTATCACTACGCGGCGCTAGTATATACGAGCAATTTTCGCATATACAATAGCTCGAGATCCTGAGCAGATAGAAAGATACTGTATTCGTCAAACTTTTTCAGGGGGTCAAGTATTTTTGGTGGTAGAGAGTACTTCAGAATTTTCTCACTACGCCACGCTACTATACACGTCCTGACCAGATAGAAAGTAAATGTATTCGGCAAAGTTGTTCAGGAAGTCATAAGATCTTTTCGTTGGTGGGCAGTTGTTTAGAATTTTCGCACTACTTGGTGCTAGTAAACACATGCAATTCTCGCATATACAATAGCTCGAGATCCTGAGCAGATAGAAAGTTCCTGTTCTCGACAAACTTGTTCAGGGGGTCAAGACTTTTTTGGCTGGTGGACAGTAGTCCAGAATTTTCTCACCACGTGGCGCTAGTAAACGTGTACAGTTCTCGCGTATGCTAAGCTCGGGATTCTGAACAGGTAGAACATTACTGTCTTCGAAATTGAGGTCAATGCCTATTCAATTTCGGTCAATGCCTTCATGAGGTCAATGCCTATTGCTTGGTGCACAATAGTTCAGAATTTTCGCGTTAGTACACACGCGAAATTCTCGCTTTTAAAATATCTCAAGATTCTGATCAGATAGATTTCGCTAGTGGACAGTAGTTCAAAATTTTCTCACTACGTAGCGCTAGAATACACGTGAAATTCTCACATGTGGTTAGTTTCGAGATCATGACCAGATAGAAAGTTACTGTCTTCGACAATGTTGTTCAGGAGGTCAAAGCCTTGTTGGCTGGTAAACGTTAGTATACATGTTTAAAACGTTAGTATACATGTTTACATCTCGCATATGCTATATCTCGAAATCCTGATCAGATATAAAGATACTGTCTACGACAAAGTTGTTCAGGAGGTCAAGGTATTTTGGCTGGGGAACAATAGCTCAGAATGATGACCCCCTAAACAACTTTGCCGAAGACAGCAACTTTCTAGCTCACCAAGAACTCGAACTATTGAATATGCGAGAAAAGCACGTGTATATTAGCACCGCATAGTGAGAAAATTCTGAACTATTTTCACCCAACAAAAAGATCTTGACTTCCTGAAAAACTATGCAAGAGTTTCACATGTATAGTAGAGCCGTAAAGAGAGAAAACTCTGAACTACTGTCCACCTGCGAAAAAGCCTTGACCTCCTGAACAACTATGCTGAAGAGAGTACCTTTCTCTCTGGTTGGGAACTCGAGATATTTTATATGAGAATTTCACGTGCGCCGCGTATTGTGAAAATTTTGAAGTATTGAGCACCAGAAAATAGGCTTTGATCTCATCAAAAACTTTATCCACGACAGTAACTTTCTATCTGGTCATGATCTTGAGATATATCACCTGAGATAATTTCACATGTATTTTAGCGCTACGTAGTGAGAAAATTCTGAACTACTCTCCACCAGCAAAAAGGTTATGATCTCTAGAACAACTTTGCCGGAGACAGTAACATTCTATCTGGTCAGGATCTCGATATATTCCATGTTGTAATCAATTTAGTGAAATCCCACGTAGTATGGTCACAGTTTACGCGGTTTCCATTTACATTTTCCCTATTATCCGCATTTTTAGGTGTTACTGTGATCAAAATTTAGCTTGTTTAGATCAACACATGTTTTTTGAGGAATACTCGTTGGTTTCAGATCGATTGGTAGCTCAGCAACAAAATGGCAATGGAAAAGTCATGTGTGCTGTACAAAGTACAACAGCGCGAGTAACGGAGGGTTAATGAACCACTCGGCCTAATGATATTCAGTCTAATACTATTCAACTTAATGCTCTTGGGCCTAATGCTATTTGGCGTAATGCTCTTCGCCCTAATGATATTGGAACTAACGATCCATTTTGCCTATGAACGCAGGGTGGCGACTACCTGAAAAAACTGGAATTGTCAGTGAATTCTAAATTCCCTGGAAAAATCATGGAGTTATCAGGGAATTCTCGAAACAATCAGGGAATTTTTTCTTCCCTTTGTATCGTTCGCTGACGCTGACAGTGACGAAATTTTGTGTATCCCGCTTCCCACTTGTATAGCCTTTTATTGCTGACTGGCTGCAACCGTCTATTTGGTTGATTTTTAGGAAGTCTGTGGCATTTCTGTAATGTTGTGAAAAATAGAAATTAATTTACCTATTCGTGTACAATTTCATATAATTAAATCTGAAATCAATGATGG